GACATATGAAGACAACTTAGACGGCCCACGAATAATACTTTTTTCATTAAGAAATGAAAATCTTAACATTAAAAGCCAGCAAATGTGTGTTCCTTTCTTCCTCCATTAACTACCTAGGTGTCGAAATAGACAGCAGAGGCGTACCTCCGGGTGCGGTGAAAAAAGAAGCCGTAAATATATTTCCAACTCCAAAAAATGTTAAACAAATCCGACAATGTAGTAAGACCTTTGTCAGCGCTGACTTGTAAATATAGTAAGACCTTTCACAGCGCACCACTTGGAAATGGGAAGACAAGCAAGCAGCGCCTAGTCAAGCACAAGAATAAATTTATCGATCGACCAACTCTTGCACTGTACAATCCAGAAGCTCGCACTGAAGTTTACACTGATGCTAGCCAGGAAGGAATAGCTGGAATATTGCTTCAAGAGTATAACTCTGAGTCTCAGTTACGACCTGTAACCTATTATAGTCGGCACACAAACGAAGCAAATACACTGGTAGAAACTTTATTGAAATTTCGAGTTTATCTACACATAAATTTCAAAATTTTAACAGATTATTGCAATGCATTAAAAACAGCAAGCTCGAAACGAGACCCAGCTATAAGGATGGTGGCTTTAACTACAGGAACACTCTTTTGTGGTAGAATACCGTCCAGGGAAACGTATGCAACACGTAGACGCTCTTAGCCGGAACCCAACTGAGCAACCACCACCAGAAAACACTGTCCTTTAAATCGAAGAAGCAGATTGGGTACTTTCAGCATAGCTTACTAACGAAAAAATTAGGCTAATATGTGATGTCTTATCAAAACCACCAGAGACAGATTACGAGAAAAGTGTCTATAGAAACTACGCTTTTCGCAATGGAAGGGTATACCGAATAACAGCGTTAGGAATCCAATGGATTGTTCCTCAGGGATTCAGAAATCAAATAGTACGTTGGGTACACGATGATGGACATTTTGCCTGCGAAAAAACGCTGAAGAAACTTTGCCTGTACCCGTTTTTTGGAAAACGGGCTCTTTTGCGGCAGCTACGTATTCGGGGCAGCCTTAACTAATTTTAGGAGGCACTAGCTAGTTGTTGAAAATAGAATAATGGAATAATTTAACAAAGTACTTACTACAGTAAAACAAGATTAATAACTGTAACATAAACCAAGGAATTCTTGTGATGGAGGCTGAATGGGGCATCCCAGTGAGTATTTTCTAGGATGTTGTTAATTTTGCAGAACAATAAAGTCTATTTGTTTTCATGTTTGTCCTGGTGTTTCCTAATCTCACGTGTCAAACTCGCTAATGAGCCAATACGATAGAATTGCATTGTATTACCCATGTAAGTAGGTATAAGTACGAGAGTTCTAATTACTCATTTTACATGTTCATTTGTAAAGCTTTGAGCAAATGTTATATGTAGTCGCAGTCAAGACGAATAAAAGGCTAACATGATTTTTGTGGAATGAATCCACACCTTCTTCTGGGAAATTAACCTTCTATTGGTATGGAAACTCGTATTTGTAAAAAAAAAGGTAATAATGGAATTTTATTTTTTTTCAGCATAAACCAATTAGATAATGCATTTTGAAACAGCATTTAAAAGTTCCAATTGTATTTCTCACTTGCAAGAGCATTTTAGAATTTTGACAGTTTATGCCTATGGTTTATGCTAAATTATAAATTATACTGAAATTTTGGTAAGACCAAGTTCAGTTATCATTCAGCTATCCAATGTAAAATATGCTTCATCCTGCGATGCGCTAACAACATTACAAAGTTTCCTATTTTTATAACTCCAATTTTCCCACGTCACATATAAATCATTTGGAAAACTCCGAGCTTTGTCATTATCAACCCCCGAGCCAACAGCGCTCAGGTGTCAGCCCCATGATGTATTAACACACCAGCAACAAGCTTTTCATTAGCCCAAGGGGGAAATTAATTTATCTTTTTATACTTAATCTTTGTATTAGGATAAGGTAGCTTATGGTGGCTTTTCGGCTGTAAATCTAAACGTATTAGTTCCAGCTCTGTACTTGTCACATGACGTTATCTTTTTAAATGAATCCCGAAATCGGAGAAATTTATAGATTTTTTGACTAGTCAGTGCTATTTTTGCTTGAGAATAAAAATCAGGAAAGTAATGCAAAGTGTTGTCTTCAATTTCTGAAACAGGTATCATATTTTATTCAATGGAAGAAGACTTATTTGTTCAAGTACCAGCTATTATATAAATCCAGATAATATAATAAAGGTACTTGTTCAATTCCAAAAGATTAAGCTAAAGGAGAGCTGGAACATAAATCTGATGCATTGAAATTGTTGGAAGAAAAACTTGAATTTCAAAATAATCCACCTACTAAGCTGCTTAGACAAGCGTAGACAAAAAGAATTCCCAGATTTTGTACCTTTTAACATTATCCAGGAGGTATTGTGTAGTATAGATAGTTTTGACGCACTTGTAGACGAGTCAAAAACTGCAAAACTTGGTAATTCATAGTCATCCTTTCCTTTTCAACCAGCACGTAAACCAAATAGAAATTAAATTTGTTGGTCTATAGTTCAACCAATCGATATTGCCATTATCATGAGTGATGAGCCATTCTGGAAATATTTGTATTGGCCAGACTTTTGATCAGAAAACGTTGTGTGTTCCCTGCCATATTTGAAAAACTAGACAAAATAGATATCAGATGTCTACCGAAAATTTGGCGGTCTTAGTAACAGATAAACAGTAACATTGCCTACGTCATCATTAAATAAAGGATATCGTCCCGGAACTTTTGGAACACTCACATCTAATATTATAGTAAATATCAATAACTATCAAGTAAGTATAGGCGCCGGTCACAAATTCCCGTAGCGGCAGTTTCCAAAAGAATTTGTATAACAAACAGTTGGGCATTTGACAGAAGTCCAATATAGTCTTAAGGCGTTCCGTCATGTTCATCAACTTGCTTGCGCAAACTTGAACTGACGGGCACAACTGATTCCTTATTTGACCCCTAACTAGTCTTCAGTTCTGTGGTGGATATACAGGGTGACTCAGAGTAAATTTCCCTTTTCGAACGCGTCCTGTACATTCAACTTAATACATATTTGTGGAGGGGTTAGCGCTTGCAATTTACGGCGACTGCGTGCGAATTATCAGTAAACATGGAGCAGTGGTCGAACAAGCAATGCGCGTTTAGTGTCGAGGCGCTTTTTAAATCAAACGATTCCTATGTCGCGGCACGGCGATGTTTTTGTAACCGTTACAATATTCGGCGTATACGTGATACTCCGTCAAAAAATTTATGGGTTCAAAGATTCAGACAAAGTGGTCCAATGGCAAATCCGCAGCGTCCCGGCCAACAGAAGTCCATCAGAACGCCAGAGAACATTGGGATTGTGCGACGTGCTGCGACTGAAAATCCGAGGCGCTCAATTCGAAAACATGGCGGGACGCTTCTGATTTGCCAATTGCCACTTTACCACTTTGAATCTTAGAACCCGCGATTTCAATACATTTTTGGACGTAGCGTCACGTATACGCCGGATATGGTTACTTTTACAAAAACGTCGCCGTGCCGCGACATAGGAATCGTTTGATTTAAAAAGCGCCTCGACACTAAACACGCATTGCTTGTTCGACCACTGCTCCATGTTTACTGATAATTCGCACGCAGTCGCCGCATATTGCCAGCACTAACCTCCCCACAAATATTAAGTTGGATGTACAGGGTGCTGCAATTTGGAGTGTTTCAACAGGAAAAACATACTTCCAGACCAGATAGAGAAAAATTGACTAAGACGTCATGGGATCGATTTTCGAGAAACGTCGATTGTCAAAAACCGTATCACGATATCTTCAATGGTACCATTGATACAGGGCGATTTTCAATTTTCCCCTATTATGAAAAATAGTTATAAGTTTTTTATTTATCAATTTTTTTTATTTCTGTAAAAACATTATTTTGAGCACAATCCAGTGGCGCAATCAGTTTTTTTCTACATTGCTCCGCTTTCGAGATATCGACCAAAGTACGATATTTTCAAATGAAATACCCTATATATTAATAGCTCATTGGATAGCTCTATTTTTGCTGATTTCAATGATATAAAGTTTGATAGGTTTATCTCTAACAGTTTCCGAGAAAAAAAATTATATCTGTTTTTGTGGTAAGGACCAATGTGTTAGAAAAGGATTTTATATATGTAAGGAAAATGAGGAAGGTCTCTTTCTAACACATTGTTTCTTATGACTGAAACCAGATATATTTTTTTTTCTCGAAAACTCGTAGAGATAAACCTATCGAACTTTATATCATTGAAATCAGCAAAAGCAGAGCTATCGAATGATCTATTAATATATAGGGTGTCTTATTTAAAAAAATCGAACTTCGGTCAATATCTCAAAATGGGAGCGAAATAGAAAAAAACTAAGTACGCCACTGGATTGTGCTCAAAAAAGTATCCCAAATTTTTTCACAGAAATAAAAAAAATTGATAAATAAGAAACTTATAACTATTTTTCATAATAGGGGAAAATCGCCCTGTATCAATGGTACCATTGAAGATATCATAATACGGTTTTTGACAATCGACGTTTCTCAAAAATCGATCCCATGACGTTTAAGTCAATTTTCCTCTATCTGGTCTGGAAGTATGTTTTTCCTGTTAAAACGCTCCAAATTGCAGCACCCTGTACAGGGCGCGTGCGAAAAGGGAAATTTACTCTGAGTCATCCTGCATTTTATATTTTGGAAACAAAAATTTATTTCCAACTCCATTTTTTGAAATACGAGTGATAAGTTAACAAAATAAAAAAATAACGCATAGTCTCGTCCATAGGTTAGAATATATTGGCATTTTGTCAAAAGCCCAATTGTTTATTATACAAATTCTTATGAAAACTGCCAGTAGGGGTCGCGGATTTCAATTTGTGCCCGGTCCCTATTGAAAATATTAGTTAGTTTTACTTTCGCATATAATTTGCCATTAGGCCACTCTTATTCCTACCTAAAAGGTTGGCTAAGTCCATAATATCTATGCTCCAAATATATTAAAAGAGCACCGTATTGCTTGGCTGTGTCCAACCAGGAACCATAATTGAGCCATGTTTCCGTGGCTTCCCCTTCACCACCAAGCATGAGGAAAACATGATTTTTGACTGTTTCATTGTAATAGTCTTCGTTGATGTGGTATCTCTGAAACCATAATAATTATACCTGTAATATAATACCTACTTAAATTGAATGATTGTAAAAATCTTATTGTTTGTGTTAAAATAATCTTATAAGATTAGGCTTTCTTTTATAGTTAAATGTAGGTCGGTACTAAATATATAAAGATTAGAGATCATACTTAAATTCAAAAATAAATAGAGAAGGTACGGGATTGTTTATTTGTATTGTCTGAGCCAAGTTATTTTTAAGCGAATTTTAAAGACAAATCATATCTAACAGTGAAATTTATTGCACAGATAAAACATTAAGAATGTCAGGTAACACACATTGCAAAGCTGGCTTATTATTGTCGCCAATTAAAAAAAACTTTTATTATGGAAATTGTAGAAAGGTATTACAATAGATATTTATGATATAAGTGTTATGAAAGTACATTTTCGAGGCACGCATGTGAAAGTTTGCAAAATTATTTTTTTTTAAATTTCAAATGTCCTGTCAGTGACATGACTTCTATCTACAATCGTTTAGTTATGATGTTGTTACACAAGCATTTTTCTAGTATTTGTCGTTTCAATAACTTACTCTTTTTCAAATTAAAATCTCTACTGATTAATTCAACAACTCACTAATTTTTACTCAATTTTTCTTTAACAATTTATCAATGATTGAATCTTGAATCATTCATGAACCTCAGTTCCGCAGCAATTTACTAATGAAATTTACTCCTTGTTTCAAAATCATGTTCATTAACGCCCTTGTAATGTAAATAACTGTAAGGCACAAGTGCCATAATGAAACTTTATGATACCAGTGCCATACAGAGCTGTCAGAAAAAACTTTATAGTATCTAAGATACTGTATCCTCAATACTTTTTATTTTTTGGCAAAAGTATCTAGTATCTTGGTTACTTTCCAAAAGGATCTGTAACTTATATCTTAAAAAAGTATCTTGAATACCAAAAAGTATTTCATTTCAGATATTTAGAAGTAGGTAGATACTGAAAAGACTAATCTAAGTTACTGCGAAAAAAGTTTCATGAGACGTTTACCCAAACCCGACCCAACACGATAAAACTGGGGTTCAAACTTCAAACAGCATCTATATAGCTTACCTTTTATGTATTATTCATTTGTACTCACCTAGCTGCTCTGTGAAGTTAGTGTACACTCATTTTAGAAAAGAGTTGATTGACAATTGTATACTTCATAAGTTCAAGTCGCGATTTATCCATTATATTCTATAAAAATGTAACTATGATTTGTGATTGTAGAAACTGTGATTACTTTCTATGTCCTGCGATTTTGAACCTTATTCCCGAATTTGGGATTTTTAAACTATAAAAATTCTTGTTTTTAAAATTGAATCCGAAACCTGTGGACCAAATAAACTAAACAGCAAAAGCTTAATCGGTTTTTTCGCTTGCTATCTAAAAATATTAATAAAGTAACTTATTAAGTATCTTAAAAAGTAACTTAAGATACGTATTAAAGATCCTTTTTTAAATGAGTAACTAAATACACAAAGTAACTTCAGATCCTTTTTCCAAAACTAACTTATCTTGTAACCTGATACTTTTTAAAAGTATCTTTGACAGCTCTGGGGCCAGAAAAGTAACATTTCCAAGGCTACGAAGGGCAGTGGCGGCTCGTGACTATTTCAAATGAGGAGGCTAAAAAATAATGAATTACGGTAAGCTAACCACTGCGTAGCAGGCAAAATTTGTTTTGGGGTGCCCATGCCCTCAATAATTTATCTCAAATTCAATAAAAACCATGAATACTCGACAAAATATTCCTATATATTTTCAGAGTTAATTTTGACGAAAAATAAAAAATACAAGGAAGGCACAAATTGATAATTATGATTAATTACAACAATAATTTACAATGCACCTGATGCAAAAAAATATCAATCAACTATAATTCTACAACTTTCGACTAGAAAAGTAACATAGAACTCTTAATGCATAAAACAGAGATAAAAAAACGCAAGGATGGCAGTTTTCAACTATGCGTGCGGCTAGCCGCTCTTCGAGACTATGGTCGCTGAACGCCAGTGGTGGTTCGATATGTTTCCGGCATTTCTATTGGACGCTCAGATCCGCGGTTCATTTGAATGCTAGATTTCAGTGAAGCATGTGAGAGTCTAGCCTCATGTCGGGTACCCACAATTTTTTTCTGGTCAAAATCGAAATTTCCTCTTTAATTTTTTTCCGGCCTTAAGATGCACCGTAGCGAGGAGAGTCAAATCAATTTTTCGACGTATTTTTTGGTTCTCTTTCCAATGTTATTTTTTTTTTCAAAATTTGAATTTTTTCGAAAAAAAAATCTATGAGGATATAAGCCTTCCAATTTTTTTATAAATTTTCAAAGCGACCTAACTCAAAAACAAAAAGCTCGGGAGAAAAACTTCAAGTGCAAAACTTGTAGATCTCGTCAAATACTACAAAAAAGTCTATAAGAAGTATCCCTCCACGGGGCGCATGTTTTAATTCCGTCATCTATTTCGGCACCAATAGAAATAGCACGTTCTGATTGGCTGCGCGGTGTTCTTCGACGCGGTGCCGAGATGGGGGTCGGAAATAACTGCAGAGTGCCGAGCTCGCATGACAGAATTAACTATTTCTTGTTGCATGTTGGGCATCATTTCTAGTGCAGACGCCAGGCGATATTGCATTATTATTATTACATATTATTTTTACCGTAATAATATGGAAGAGTTTTTACCTACCTCGTTTCATAACGCGACTATTCATGAAAACTGTATTCGAAGCGACACAAAAAGTCAAGAAGATTTGCGCCAATGGATACAAGAATACAGTGTATTGAGCAAAACAAAATGGAACGTTGAAAAGTGCATAAGGTCAAATAGGTTTGTGGCTAGTTATGGTATTATTATTATGATTGAAATAATAATTGTTTTATAAAGCGTGCATCAAATTCGATGGCCTCTATTAGTACAGTGACAAAAATATTTGTCAGTTTAGGGAGCTGTATTCCGGTTTCATTTATGCCCGTTCTAAAGAAAAGCACGTGAACCCAAGTGAACCTTTGATAATGTATGTGTTCTTTAGACATGCGCACTTGTGTGCCGTTGTTCATATTATGTCTAGTAATAGCAAACCAATAGAAGCGTAGTGCGATTGTTCTAACGCAGCATAAATTTAATTTGAATACAACAGTTTTAAAAATAAAAGTAACATTTATTGCAGTATTAGGTGTGCGTTATTTTTCAGAATAATTTACCTATGTCGTCATTCAATTTATGTTTATTTTTACAGTACTTATTGTATGAATTTGTGTAATTTGAAATGGAAATAAATAAATAAATAAATAAATATGTCATCATACAAATTATAAAAGAATAGATCCCAAAAGTAATAAACGGGGGCGGTCCAAAAATTGTTCGTGTCCTGCAGAAATGCATATTAAAATAAAATGTACCACCAAAGATACTATGAAAAAAGATGATGCTCATGTTAAGGTAAACATACAGCGTGCCTCAAAAAGTTTTACCCATATTAGTCTAGGAAAATTGTCGATTTTCAAAAAAAAAATCCTAGCGAAAAGAACTTTTCAGGGATGATAGGGGGAGGGTGGGTGATCATAAAATCGAAAATATCAAACATTCACCCCTCTGGCGTTTTGCGCTATAGGGGTTGAAAGTGCGCCATTGGCGATTACTTGGTACCTATTGATTTTACGAAAAAATGTTTCAAATAAAAGATGTGCAACATTATTCGATCTACAATGTTTATCTAAAGACTTTTTTGATTGAGGGCCGTCTGTGGTCATAAGGGCCGTTTGAAATTTTATAATGGAAATGAAAAATTTTAACCAACGTGAAAAAATTTTCTACAACTCATACAACATTTTTGCTTTATGAAATTTTTACTCACCTCTTGCCGTTTTTCAATAGGGGTAGTTTAAAGTTTTTTTATTTTTCTACAAAAAAAAATTTCTCAATAAAAGTTTTATAAGATGATATTTCCTACAATTTTTCCTAATCAACTTTTTTTGTAATTCACCCCCATTCAGCGGGGGGACACTTCCCTCGGGGAAATTTTAGTTTTTAGGGGTATCTATTAGTTTTTTTTTCTTTTCTCGCCTTTAGTGCATATAAAAAGTTGCAATTAACATTGTATTAAAAGGATTTTTTTTCCACCACCTTTTTGTTTTTAGGGGTAGTTCGCCTATTTTAAATTTTACAAAAAAAAATTATTAAGAAAACTTGTTCATTTTATTATTTTGAGCAACTTCTCTCTATAACTTTTTTTTATAAAGTTGAAAATAGGCGAACTACCCCTAAAAACAAAAAGGTGGTGGAAAAAAAATCCTTTTAATACAATGTTAATTGCACCTTTTTATATGCACTAAAGGCGAGAAAAGCAAAAAAAAATATATATATATACCCCCAAAAACTAAAATTTCCCTAATAATATAAGGAAAGTGTCCCCTCGCTGAATGGAGGTGAGTTACAAAAAAAGTTGATTGGGAAAAATTGTAGGAAATGTAATCCTATAAAACTTTTATTGAGAAATTTTTTTTGTGAAAAAATAAATAAACTTTAAACTACCCCTATTGAAAAACGGCAGGGGGTGAGTAAAAACTTCATAAAGCAAAAATATTGTATGTGTTGTAGAAACATTTTTCACGTTGGTTAAAATTTTTCATTTTCATTATAAAATTTCAAACGGCCCTTATGACCACAGACGGCCCTTAATCAAAAAAGTCTTTAGTAAACATTGTAGATCAAATAATGTTGCACATCTTTTATTTGAAACATTTTTGTGTAAAATCAATAGGTACCAAGTAATCGCCAATGGCGCACTTTCAACCCCTATAGCGCAAAACGTCAGAGGGGTGAATGTTTGATATTTTCGGTTTTATGATCACCCACCCTCCCCCTATCATCCCTGAAAAGTTCATTTGGGTAGGAATTTTTTTTTTGCAATACATGTATTTTTCGACTATTTTCCTAGACTATATATGAAAATTCACTTATTCTTTATTATTATATT